AATCTAACCTTCTGAAGTAGGGTTGGGCATAATCTTATCGTGTGCTATTAATCGTCAGAAAAACAATGGATTATTTTTTGGCACTTGACATTTAATACGATTAATGCCAGCAGGCAGGCTGACTGGATAAAGACAGTCAGACTGTCAGCCTTTCCCACAGCACTTCCCCGCTGTACAAGGAGACAGTATGCACTATGACCACAGGAGAAACGAGGTCCAGACTCAACGAGCTTTTGTGCGTCTGGAGCACTACTTCACCTGCACACAGTCGCCTCGCTGCGTCACCACATGCTGCGGCGCGCCCTCCTCCCGCTGCAGCCGACAGGACGCGCCGTCACGTGAACATGTAGACAGTTCAGAGTTTATTTTCACACACCTGAACCAGGTCTGGATAAGTTATGTTTTTTTCCCCTCTTCATTTGCGCTCTCAGCCACCCTGCTTCCTGTTTCCTGTGTTTTCACTCCAGCTGGTTACGTCATCTAAAAGAATTGCGCGGTTGGCTGGTAGACTACAGATCTCTACCATAGGACAGATTTATATCGTTTCTACCATATATCGTTTATATCGCGCATTCATACTAGTTTGTCTTTTTTTTTWAACTTTTTGTTAGTGTTTTTCTACTTAGAGACTTTCAGAAAGTGTTCTTGTGTTCTTTAACAACTTAAGTTTAGACTCATCAGCAAATTTGTGGTTCATCTTTCAGCACGCACACTAGTTGTTTGTTTCTAATGTGTTTGTGTTTTTAATTTTAGTTTTTCATCCCACATGAAGAAATATTTATCTTTATTTATTTATCTATAATAATTTGCTTTTTTAGGTGCAGAAAAAGAAATAGAGAGATTAAAGAACCTGCCTGAGGCAAGTATGAGGATAAACATTAAGTTGTATGTATTTTCATTATAATGTGTTATAGTATTTTAACTGCTTTTTTAATAATCCTATTAATAAAACTTGCAGACAAAGGAAGAGGTGGAGCATGCAGACATCTTAGAACTGAACACTACCATTGGATTACTGAGGCAAGAGAAGGAAGTCCTGGAACAAGAAAAGGTTGGTTTGAACTTCCAGCTGGTTAAAATACCTCTAATGTCTTACTGTCCATTAACTCTTTATAAAACCAAACTATGCTGAAAATGGGCTTTTTGCTTTCAACTGTAACGTTTCAAGAACTACAAATCTCCAAAGTGAATTTAGGCTGCGAAAAGAGGGCAAACAATACCTTGGCATACACTTTCCCTTTGTACTACAGGTGTTATCTGATTTAATTACAATAAAGTAATTATAGGCGTTTAATAATGATCAGTTTCTGTCAGATCAACACTTGACCAGAGTAAAAACTGATGCTCTGAATATTTAATACAAGAAATAACAGCATTTTTCTTCAGTTTATTGACTCTGTATGTCATATTATTAACATGTGAAACAGCAGGTGTAAACAAGACCCAGTAAAGTTTATTTAAATGTGTTTTCTGTTCTCAGCTGGACCTACAGCACAGACTGAAACTGTCAGAAGAACAAATGGTTAACAGTGATATAGCAGTGAGGACGTGTGAAATGGAGTCTTTAGAAGACCTGAAAGTGGAGCTGGAGAGGAGGGAGAAGGCTCTGAGAGCCACTGAGGAGGAACGAGACGTCCTGCTGTCAGAGCTGGAGGAGCTGGATCACCAGAACCACGAGGCAACACAGGTCTGACCAAAGTGTTTTTTCTACTTCTGATCACTAGTTCTACATGTTTTAATACACATTTTCATTTCATAATAACTGTTTTAAAGTGTCCTGCCTGCATCTTGGTTTAGCTGCATTTTTAAAGCTTTAGATACTAATACACTAATATACAAATATATAATACATATATAATACACTGACCGTGTTTCCATCAAGGCTTTTTGATGCGCATTTAGAAGTGTCGCATTAAAAATGCGAAATAAAGTCAGATGGAAACAGCAAAATTCAAAAAAAAATCCTCAATTCACTAAAAAGTTTTTACGCTCGCTTGAGGTGGTTTTTGGATGATTCACAAAGTAGTTAATGCTCAAAACAGGAGATGGAAACACGTTTGCTGAATAAATTCTGACATAGCGCATATTTACCTCATGTGACGTTCAGCTGTTTCCGCTTTCCTGCCTCGTCCCGGCGTAGTTGCACATGCCTTTCTGCTGCGTAGTTTAACATTGCGTTTATTTCCCTACGTCTCCTGGCAGCGTTAAACAT